GTCTCCCGGTTTTCTAGCTTGAACGCCTTTAACTACACTAAGCTGACTCTCAGGGCTCTTTATAAGTAAACTTTATTTGCACTTAGCTAGGCAGGTTTAGACACAGGTTAAGTATGGTGATCCCTACTAAGAACATAATATAATATATAATGTTGTAACAAGAGAGAAGAAAGCTACAGTTCTAAAATTCAGATCTTCTTTTTGACTTGTTTTGTTAAAGGGCCAGATCTAAAGCGGCTTTTTTTCAGACTCCAGAATGAGTCAGAGAGCTGATTATTATTTTTATTTTTTTTTGACCTGTTCAACTTTACCCTCAAAATAATACATTAAAAGAGATGGAGGGAGAGCCCAGAGCTTAGAGGCGGAGAGGCAGAGGCCAGGGACAAACAGACCCTTCGCCTCCCCTTGACGGCTTGCTTATTTTGAGTGTGGCCGGTTTTCAGAGCTGTGTATATTCTTTGTGGCCTGAACTTTATTTCTGCCTTTATATGGGCGGGTGGTGCCAAAGGGAAGGAATAAGCTTTAAAAAAGAGGGATGATAATTATTATCACAATTAGTCTTGGTTCTCAAAGTCATCAGTGCCCCTGAAAAACTGGAAATGAAAACAAACCTTCCTTTTCTTGTTTCTTTCATTCATGCCTTGTTTCCTGCCTTCTTTCTTTCCTTCCTCTCTCTTTTTTCTTCCTCTTTCTCCTTCCTTCCAGTCTTCCATCCATTCATCTGTCAATCTATCCACCACTTTCATTGCCCTGTCGTCTTTCTGTCCTTCCTTTCCTCCCCTTTCCTTTCATCTCCTTTCCTTCTCTCCCATCTCGTCCTTCCTTTCTTCCATTCTTTCTTCCTTCTCTCTTCTCTCCCCTTCCACCTCCCTCCCTTCCCTCTTATTGTCCTCCCTCCCTTCCTTCCTATTGTCCTTCCTTTCTTCCCTCTCATTGTCCTTTCTCTCATTGTCCTTCCTTCCCTCCATTCCCATTATCTTCCTTCCTTCCTTTCTTCCTTCCTTCCTTTTGTCCTTTCTTTCTTCTCTCATTGTTCTTTCTCTCATTATCCTTCCTTCCCTCCATTCCCATTACCTTCCTTCCTTCCTCCCTTCTTCCTTCCTACTCTGACTCTCCCCCACCCCCCCAAAAAAAATAACCCAGGAACCAAAGCAAAGGAAATCATAAAGCGATTTGATTTCTCTCCCCCCCTCTTCCCCCTCTCGCAACTTGATGAACAGCAATAATGGAGGGGTGGAGTTGGAAAGCCCACCCCCGCGTATGGTTTGTGTTATTAAAATAAGCCAACGGTTTTTTTTTTTTTTTGAAAGCGAAGAGAGGAGGGAGGCAAAGCGAAAGGAGAGAAGAAGAAGAAAAGAAAGATTTTCCAAGCTTTGAGTCTAACGCACCCCCCCCCTTTCTGCGGGCCTTTTCTCCCCCTCCCCCTTCCCCCCCCCTTTTTAACTTGAGAAAGAAGGGTAGAAACTGGAGACAAAATTCGAGAGGAGGGGCGAGACGAGACGGGAAGAGGAGAGAGTTAAGAAAGAGACTGGAGGAGGAGGGAGGAAGGAAGGGGAGGGAGGAAGTGAAAGGAAGGAAAGTAAAAAGGGAGAGAGAAAGGAAGGAAAGAAGGAAGGAAGGGGAGGGAGGGAGGAAGTGGAAGGAAGGAAAGGAAAAAGAGGGAGGGAGAAAGTGGAAGGAAAGTAAAAAGGAAGGAAGGAAGGAAGGAAGGAAGGAAGGAAGGAAGGAAGGAAGGAAGGAAGGAAGGAAGGAAGGAAGGAAGGAAGGAGGGAGGGAAGGAAATCTTGGGGAGAGTGCCTTTTGTGCTTGCTTTGCTCGGAAGAAAAAATACGCGGGGTCGGGGGGGAGGAGGGAGGAGAGGGAGGGGGAGGGGGTCTGCGAAGGGCCGGCCAGAGATAGCCTCCAGTGTACAGCCGCAGCTGGTTGGCCAGCCGGAGCGCTGCGCCCCTGCAAAGACGCCGTTTCCTTCGCCTCGGCGCACCAGGCTGGAGACAAGACCGTTCCCCGCGCTCGCTTCTTTTTCTCTTTCTCGGCTTCCTCCCTCTCGGGAAGCCAGCCTGCTCCTGGAGGGGGGGTCTCGCCACCCCCTCACCCGCCCCTCTTCTTTCCAATTTCGGTTTATTTATTGGGGTTGGTTTTTCTCCCCCGTGCGCCTTTGGGAAGGAGCGAAGGGAGGGAGGCGGGCGGAGAGAGAAGGTGGAGGGGGGGGGGGAAAGGAAGGAATCTGAAAAACTGCACCCACCGATCTGGTGGGGGGGGGAAGAGGAAGGGGGGGGACTGCTGCGCGTGCACGTGCTTGGAAAAGCTGCCCGGGCAAGGAAGCGAGCGAGCGAGCGAGCGAAAGGGGAAGAGAAGCGAAGGCGCACGGCTGTTCCGGCCGAGGGAAGGAGGTCTGAGACAGAGGCCTTCCCCAAGAGAGAGGGGGGGTCTCGCTTGCTGTCGCCGGGGCTGGAGCCACGGCCTGGAGACCCCCTGCGCTGGGTGAGCGCGCCCGCGGGGTCCTCGGAGATGCGGTGATCCGCCGCTGCCAGCCGGGCCGAAGGTAATCAAGGCACCTTTCCTCCTGCTTCGGGTGGCGCTGCCAGGAGCCAAGCTAAGAAGAGGGGAGGGGGGCGATGGTGGGGAGGGGGGGGTCTGCAAAGCGCGAGAGGGAGGGAGGGAGAGCGAGGAGAAGGCTCCAGAGCAGGCCCAGCCGCGAAGCCCGCCTGTCAGGCCGGCTCGGGGTCTGCGCAGGGCGGCCAAAGCGGGGCGCTTCCAAAGGCAAAAAGCGGACGGCCGTTGTTTTGCGCCTTCGGAAGATGCCGGCGGGCCGAAGCCGGCTGGCGGGTGGGCGCGATCCAGCTGCCCAGCCTCGGCCTGCTGGCTTCCGAGCGGTGGCTTGCGCGCCCCGTCTCCAAACTTCAAAAGCGGGGGAGGGAGGGGGGAAGAAAAAAGGGGGAGATCGGGGGGGGGGCTTCGTCCAACGTGAAAGCTTGGAAGGCCTGCTTTGCTGATTCCTTGCCTCGTTGGGATTCGAGATCGCCCCCCCAAGCCACCTTTTGCTCCCCCCCCAACTCCGGGAGAAGAGGGATGCGGTAACGGGTCCCCACGACCCCTCTTCCCTCCATCTGAAAACGCCCGCTTTTCCTTCGGAGCCTCGTGGTTTTCTTGCAGACCCCGTCTAGGTAACGTCGGCATCTGCCCTGAGCTACAGAGGAAAAGGCCCTTTCTCTATCCCTGAGCTACAAAAATAGGCACCTTTGTTGACTTTTCCTTCGCTCTGGAATAGCCAGCTTCCAAGGCTGGGTGGAGGAATAGCGGCCTCGTTTTGAAATGACCTCGCTGCTCCCTTGGTGTCCTTCCCTAAGCGAACTAAGGCCCATCAATTTCTCAAGTCCCTCTACCTTGCCTTGTGGGTCAGTTGGAAACCAAAATGCTTTTTAAATACCCGTCTGGGTATCTTTTATTTTGTTTCCCCACCGCCTGGTTCAGCCCTGTTGTCGTGAGCTCAATGGGGGCCAAAAGAGAATTTACTGTATCTGATAATTTATCGTCATTTTAAAAATAACTCAACCCAAAGGTTTATCCCTTTAAAGAAAAATGAAATCCAGCTTTGTTGAATGATGGCAAGATTAGTTCAGGCTGGACTAAAATACGGAGGATTTTTGTCCCAAAGCCTGCCATTAATTATGTTTGGGAACCTGATTTCCTAAAGTTTTAAAATATGGTGTCTCGGTGTCTCTGTTATGTGTATAAAATGTAGATAGATAGACAGACTGACAGATAGACAGATAATTTAAATATACTGTACTACAATATATTAAAATATTCCTCTTCCCATCTCAAAGCAAAAGATACATAATTTAATATATTATACTACTTTAATATAATAGTTTAAATATTCCTCTTCCCATCCCAAAGCTTTAAAAAAAAGACTGAATAAAAGTATGTATGTGTATAAACTGTAGATAAATAGATACAGATAGATAGATAATTTAAATATACTACCTTAATATAGTTGTTTAAATATTCTTCTTTCCATCCCAAAGCTTTAAAAAATATTTCCTTATTAAGATGGGATAAAAGCTTTCCCCCACTATTTTAAAAGGTAGTCTGGCAGCATTAAAAACATGCAATTTAATTTATTTCAATTGGGCATTCTGTTTTAATTTTAATTTGTTGTAGATTTTAATAAGTACCCACATCCGCCCCCTTGGAAGGGTTTCCAAGTTAATAGGCCTTAACTGTAAGGTTTTCATCAGGGTTTTGTTTAGAAAGCGAGTGGAACTCTTTCGTTTCTGTTCTTTTTTACTTCCAAGTAAATGTAGAAAGCATTTTTGTCAGTTTGGAATCTCTGGGATAAATTCTCCCGAGCTGTTTCTGAGTAGGTGTGTATAAAATTTAGGTTTAGATTTAATGCAATGTTATTTGGAAGTTCCTCTCCGTAGTAACTGTTTAGATTTGCGAAGGCTTGAATTTGGTTTACAAGACAAAATTATGCACAGGGAAATGAGCTGCAGTATAAATGGTGTTTGATGGTAGGGATTTATTTTTGGGGTTTATTTGTGGTTTAGCTTTCCTTCCTATATTTTTCATCTTACTTTGTATTTGTTTTTTCTTCTTATTATTATTTCAGGGTTGATTGTGAGAAGGCAACTGTAAGGCTAAAATTCCCCAAGCCAAATTTATAGACTTGTTAATTGCATGGTGCTTGGGGATAAATTCGTATTTTGTTCTTGAACTTTCGCAAGAGCTGAATTTCTTATTAATTTCTTCCCCTCTCTTCCCCTTTCCTCCATGTTGTAACTTACAACCTGCCTTCAGACATTACTTACCCTTTGCTCAGACTTCAGTTTAGAGGAAAAGGCACACTTGTTTTTTTTCTCCTTCCTTTCTGGAGCTGAAAATCCTTGTCGCTTTTCTGCTCCTTCGCTTCTAGATTTAAAATAATTTAAAAATATAAAGAAGCTGCAGCAGGGTTTTTTAAAAACACACACACACACACACACACACACACACACACACAATTTGGCATTTTGGAAAGCAGGAATAAAAACTGAGAAAGGAGAAAAGGAAGGACACTTCCCCCCCCTTTGGTTAGAAAACCTATCTGGAACATATCGAATATGAATTTTGCATACATTTTCTAGGCATACAATAATCTATCATGTGCTGTCTCTGCTTATGGAGGACTAAAAGCTTTTCTCTTTCTTTTCCCCTTCGCTATCCATTTTCCTGTTTCTCTTCCCTTCTTTCTTTCCTTCTGTTTCACTTTCATTGTCCTTCCTTCTTTCCTTCCTTCCTTCCTTCTGCATTTTTTCTGAAGGCACTAAATGTGTCTATACGAATATATATATTTATATTTATATGAGCATGTCTTAATATGTTCTCAAATTCAACACTCCCCCCCACACACACACATGCAACCCAATCTAAGTGCACAGGCAGGCCCCACCTTAACTGACAATTTAAAGAGCTCAGTGAAACTCTTGGCAATTATATTCACACATTTCATCTGAGTAATTTGGGGGTGCCTGTATCACCCCCTCTTTTCCCATTACTCTGTGAGGAAACAGCTTGTTTTGCCAACGAATGAAATACCAAATAACTGTGTGAAATTGTGTTTCTACCTTCTGTGCATTTATGTGAGAGGGGAAAGATTTAACAGAGACTTATATAATTGTGCTTGTTGTAATTTGATGTTGTTAAATATACAGCCTCTAGAAAGGAAAGCCATAATACATGCCCAACTAGAATAGTATACCCAGGGCCCACATTCGCACAGTTAACTAGCCTGGATTGAAAATTGGGAGGTTTTTTAATTTAGCCTATTTATAGGAACGCTGCCCTGCTTTTAACCTGTTTTGCAAGCTGCCCCATTTGCAAGGTCACCATAGGCTATTGCTGTTGTTAGGCAAGGGATCTTGGGAGGCAGGAACAGGGTTTGTGAACCCTGGTTTAACATGTTGTGGGAACCCAACCTCAATGGCTATACAGGTGAAAAAAGTGTACATGGTGCTAGTAATCTGTAAATGTAGATTTTTCCGTAAGGCCCTCATTGATTATATATATCCAGGTTTGGTTAATCTCTGGTCAGGATTATATTTCCTACTTCCAGCCAACCCCACGGCCCAGTTCTAACCCTGTGACTGAATTTACACCCAAGAGTGAGGTTTTCCACCCTAATCTGCATTATTTGAGCGCTCTTAACTCCAGGAAGGATACTTAAGATCATTCTCCTAGGATATTTGCACAAAAACCTAGAAGACTGGTGTGGGCACCGTGTAAGGTTCTAGGCAGAATATTTTAATATTCTCGCTTGGGTGCCAGTTTGTAATGTCATATTTGGGGGGGGGTGTGAGGCAGGGGTGAGTGGGTAGGTGGGAAAGATGCCTGCTGCCCTTTTCTGGATGTCTGTGTCTCTGCTGCTGGGTGGGGAGGGGGGCGGTTCTCTCCAGACCCCCATTGTTGGCCTGCGTGTTTCAAGGGCTTTTGAGTGAGGCCTGGCACCCAGGGTGCCAAAGCCCCCACATTGGCTTCTCAGGGCAGAAAAAGGTGGGGGAGTCCTATGTGGCCCCCAGGACCTTCTCCTCATCACTCCTTTCTGTTGTCCTACAGCGGAGGTAGCCTGGAGGATGGCAGCGACAGAGGAAGACTTTGGGCTGGCAACCACACCGGGGGATTCACCTCCGAAACAACTGAGCCCCGAAGACAAGGCCGATGGGCAGTTGGGGGGCGGCAGTAGCAAGCAGCCAGCCTCCCCCCAGCCAGCCTTCACCCAGCAGGTAAGGGAGGGGCACGAGGGGGGGAGATGATTGGCCATGGCAATCATCTAAGACAATAATAATATTGATTAGCTCTTCTTTCTTTCTTTCTTTCTTTCTTTCTTTCTTTCTTTCTTTCTTTCTTTCTCTTTTCCTCCTTCTGCTTCTCCTCCTTCTCCTTCCATCTCTTTTTTCCTTCTCCTTCCGTCTTCTGGTTTCTCTTCCTTTTCTCTCTTTTCATCCTTTGCCTCTCCTTCTTTCTCCTTCTTTTCTTTCCTTCTCCATTGGGCGGGTTATAGGAAGAGGGCGGGTAATTATGACTGTTGTTATTGTTGCCTGCCCACAATCTATTAGCATTAATAAGAGTTCTGTTTCGATGTGGGCTTTAGGAAAATGGAGTTACAATGATATTATTATTTTGGTTCATCCGGCAGCCAGAGGTTTAGACTGGATTTGGTATTTTTCTTCCCAAGGACTTGGTTAGGCAGATGTTGTTGCAATAATGTTTTCAACACCACCAGCATCTGCCTATTAATATGGTTCATTGCACAGTCAGCCAGATGTTTAGACTGCATTGGGCTCTTTTATCCACCCATCGAGCTCTTCCCGAGGGTCTGGGATCGGCAGATGTGAATGTTTGATGGCGTTAAAGGGATCCTGGCAGGATGTCAGCGGTGCCGCTGCGTAAAGCTGCCTTTTGCAATTGACCGATGGTGGGGTTTTTTTTGTCAATGCCGGTGGTGTTCGAGTGGTCCTCCAGATGTTTTGCCATTGCACCCAAGGCACCCATTACAATTATGATCATGAAGCCCAAGGGGGTCCCCTGGAGGGGGTGGCGCTGGCGAGGAGGGTCCAGGTCTCCTAACGGCTCTCTGCCCCCCCCCTGTTTATAATCCAAACGTCTAAACAAAGAAAGCCGGATTGATCGATCGTGTCGCCGCTCCACACCCGGGGGACGGTCGTGGGGAAGGTTTTCCTCCGTCTGGGTTTTTTAAAAAAAGAGGTCCTTCTTGGGGGCTCCGATAAGCTTTCTATTTCCCCTCTCCTCCAGAGAAGGGGAGAGGGAGGGGGCGGCCAATTCCTCGCCGACGGACGGACGGACCTTGCCGTTTTCCTTACCCCGGAGAATGGCTTCCCCGCCGGGTCTTCGTAACGAGGCTCCGGGCAAAGCGAGCGAGGCGTCCCCGAATCCCAGGTTTTGGGGGGGTGCCTTTTATTCCGAAGATCCCCGTTTTCTCTGTCTCTCCCGGCCGAAATGAATCCCGCAGGAAGAAAGCAGCGAGAGCCCAATCGTAGTTTGTTTGTTCCCGAAAACTACAGACTGGGATCCCCCACTTCTCCGCGGATTTAAGCCGAAATTAACACCTTATCCTTTCCGGTCCTTGAACAAACCGCGGTTCCAGAATCCCTGCTAAATCGATCCTTCCTTCCTTCCTTCCTTCCTTCCTTCCTTCCTTCCTTCCTTCCTTCCTTCCTTCCTTCCTTCCCTCTTTCTTTTCTCCCTCCCCGTGCAAAGCGTGTAGCCGAGATCCCTTTCGCTCGGAGGAAGCCACATTGAACTCGATGGGCTTCGTCTTAGCTAGCCCTGTAGACTCTGGCGGGCTGTGGGGTTGTAATAATACCCCCAGTAATACTCGCAAACGTAGCTCCTCTTTTTGATCGTGGGCTATTGAACCGACCCCGTTTTCTGCTTGGATGCCCAGCGCCCGGACCTCAAACCCAAGATATTTCTGAATCCGGAATTAATGACAACAGCGCGAGCAATAATATCACGATGAATACAGGATGGTCTGGGTTGGCAAGAGAGAAAGAAGCGGAGAAGTAGATAGTAGGCAACTGGCAAGTTGGGTTAAGAGGTTGTGAGAATGCTCCCCGAGATTCAGGGGCCCAGACAACGGTTGGCTTAGCGCCCAACTGTAAACTGAGAACTGGAGACAAATTCCTTGTGTGTCTAATCACACTTGGGCAAATAAACTACAGGTAGTCCTCAACTTACAACAGTCCATTTAGTGACCGTTTGAAGTTACAACGGCTCTGAAAAAAAAGGTGAGTGATGACTGTTTTTCACACTTAGGAGCCTTGCAGCCTCCCCCTATGGTCACGTGATAAAAATTCAGATTGCTTGGCCACTGGCTCATATTTATGACCGTTGCAGTGTCCCGGGGCCATGGGCATCCCTTTTTTGCGACCTTCTGGCTTTCCCTTTTGCGACCCTTCTGACAACGGATTCATTTCACAACTGTTACTCACTTCACCAAACTGCAGAGAGTCACTTGAGAGAAAATGTAAAACGGGTCAAAACTCACAAATTTCTCACTGAGCGACATAGATTGTGGGCTCAGTTGTAGGTCGTAAGTTGAGGACTACCTGCATTCAATTCAATTCAGTTCAATCTTTGCTTCTCTTTCTGGGCGGCACCCCGTGTCTGAATTCTCATTCTTGCTTGGTTTTAAATTCAGACCAGCTTTTTTGCCTTTAAAGCAGAAGTTAGATCTCTTCTCTTCTGCTGGTTTTTATTCCTTTTCTTTCACCTCCCAGGTTTCTCCCTTATAGGCCTGTTTTTCTAGGCTCTTGTGGGTCCAGCTCTTTGTCCCTCCTTTCCGTCTATCCTTGCAGAAGGAAAACCCAAAGTCAGCCTGTAAACAGAAGAGAAAAGCCTCCACCAGGTCTTCACACTTACATTTTTGGCTTGCACATATGTAAAGGAGCTGCCTGCAGCACTGTCTTCCGGGAAGGCTGGAAGTAGATAGTAGGCTTTTATTTTTTGTTTTCTTCCCGAAGTCCCAACATCTGTTCATGGGTAATTAAGGATGAAGCCTTGTTTTCTAATCTCTCTCCTTGCCTACCAATTATGAGCTGCAAAAGAAAGAGAGAAGGGGGGAAGGGCGGAGAGAAAAAAGAGAGGATTATTAAATCCATTGATGATGTTACCTAAATAGGTAATGAAATGTCTGCAAGAAAACCACCAAGCTCAGAGAGCACCAAGGACCCCACAGTCCTCCTCCCTCCCATTCTTGCTGATTTGATACTTGTTGGTTTGGCCAAGTGTACTAGGAGAGAAAGAGTCCTGTTGAACTCAGAGGAATTGACTTGGTCTACAGCAAACAAGGGAAGCGGTGTCTATTGGTCCTAATGGGTTTAGCCTTGTGCCCTAGGCATAAGATGCGGGGCAGAAATAAATTCTGAAATAAAATTTAAGTTCATTGCCTTTTCTTTTCCATCTCCTCTTCCTTCTTTGTTTTTGTCTCTTACCACTTTCCTACAAGGAGCTAAGTTGCCGTTTAAAAGTTGGGGGGCTCATAATGTAGAAACGAGGCTAATAAAATGCATGGGGAAATGTTTTAATCTCTCCTGTCCGCCTTCTACTGAAAATAAAATCCACTATTTTGGATGTCCGCATATCCTTTCATTTACCAGAATCTTGAATGGACAAATAAAAGGATTTTATAGGACTGGGATGGAGGAAAGACCACGGCTGCATTTTCCCAACATACTAACTCGTGGTTAATTTTAGGTGTGTAATGGAATTCACTCAGTTTTTCCGGTCTGGCTCAATAGCCGAGGCAAATGTCCTGCCAACATCATGTCCTGCCAAGCTGACCCAGGACATGCTAAGAAGAGGCAGCAAGCTGTGTGAAACCACATTCACACAATAGGCTGTGCCTGCAGCTTTGGGGCGCCACAAAATCAGCCATAAATCGCTTTTTTTCAGTGCCGTCGTAACTTCAAACAGTCCCTAAGCAAACTGTCGTAAGTCGAGGACTAGCGATATTTATTTTTGGTGCCTTCACTCAGTTTTGACTCCTGGCAACTAGCTGGACTAACCCCTGCAAGATTTCAGAAGCGGTTTGCCATTGCCTCCATCCCAGGGTTCAGACTGCATGGCTGGCTGGAGGTCAACCTGCAGGCTTCGTGGAGGGGGGGGGGGAGTAGAACTCACGACCACCCAGCTTGGAACTGTGAATCGCTCAAGTACCGTAGCTAGATTTGGCATCTCTCCAGGCCGGAGTGGCGACTTTGGGGTTCAGCTGGGAACCCAGATATCTAACCGAAGGAACAGGAGGAGCCTAGAATAAAACCCTGGTGGGGCAATGGGAACGTGGGCAGATCCTGGTTTGCCTGAGTGCAAAGCAATCCAAAATCGGATCATGCCTGCCTGGCATTCATTTCACCGTGGCTTCTCTGTCTGCAGAATCTCCCCACCACCACCACCCGGAAAAAGAAATATTCAGGAGATCTCCAGGCCTTCCTATTATAGCCCCTTCTATTTTGATGCTTTGGGTTTATCAGCGCTGCTGCTGCTGCTGCTGGTATCGGAAAGTTCCAAGCGGCTCTCACGGACGCGGGTAACTCTGAAAACCGAGGGGAAGGGGCGTCGTGCCCCTCCCCTAAACGGCCTCGCTATTTGGGGAGATAAAGCCCGAACTTTCTTGTGCTGCCAAGGGATAGAGCCAAAGACAGCGCAAGCTGGAGCTATCACTGGAAGAAAAAAAAAAAAAAAGACTATGGTTCCTTCCCTTCCCTCGCCAGACCCATTCACACGTTACGCGGTCTCCCACCCGGATTAACCACTGAGAGTGGAACGCCACGAGGACTCCACCGATCGGGGGTGTCTGAAAGGACGCCGTCAGAGACACGCCTGACTTTTCAAAGAAAGCGTGTCGGGCGCAAGAACCGGCTTCACGTGTAGTGGGGGGGAAAGGGGGGGGGAAATCTAACGCGCGCGTTTGGGAGACCCGCGGAAATTAATGCGCGCTGGCCTCCAGGCTGAAGAAAGAAAGTGGTGGTGGAGAAGGAAACAAAAGACAGAAGTCATAAAAGCACGTGTGAACCCCACGTTTGCCTTGGGTATATTTCCTTTCTGGAGTAGGGGGTCCTGAGTAAAACACCTCGGATGTCTTTATTGTTGTAAGTCCCTCTGATTTTGTTTGTTTGTTTGATTGTTCAGTTTCTGCAGCTGCCCATCTCAGTAAACGATAGGTATTGTTTTATATATAATATAAATATATATTTATATCAATTATATAATTGGTGTATTTGTGTGCTTCACATAGAAATCTGTTCACACAGAGAGAGAGGGGGAGAGAGAGAGAGAGAGAGAGAGAGAGAGAGAGAGAGAGAGAGAGAGAGAGAGAGAGAGAGAGACATAATTTTTTTTTGTACTTTTTCTTTCCAGGGAATGGAAGGAATCAAAGTATTTTTACATGAACGAGAACTGTGGCTCAAATTTCATGACGTGGGAACCGAAATGATTATAACAAAAGCTGGAAGGTAAGATCCAGAGAGACGAAGGGAAGGGAGGAAAAATCCAGAAAAGACCACTTTTGTCTATTGCAGAAAGAACAAGGGATTGCATTGCTTAGTGAAATATGTTAGGTGTTCCTACGGTTTGGGTAGACATACTCGTCCATCTTACTGTTTAATACTACCATACGTTCTCTGTTCCAGACATTTGGTTGTTTTTTTAGCTAGAATGACATTTTTTTCCTGCCTTTTGTTTGATTTCAGACGAATGTTCCCCAGCTACAAAGTAAAAGTCACCGGACTCAACCCCAAAACAAAGTACATCCTTCTAATGGACATTGTGCCCTCGGATGACCATCGATACAAATTTGCAGATAACAAATGGTATGTAATAATAATAATAATAATAATAATAATAATAATAATAATAATAATAGTGCCGCCTATGCAAAGAAGCTGAAGAAACAGTGGACCACTTGGTAAGCTGTTGCAAGAAGATTGCACAAACTGATTACAAGCAGCGGCATGACAAAGTAGCAACAATGGTGCATTGGAAGATCTGCAAAAAATATCATTTGCCTGTAAGCAAAAACTGGTGGGATCATAAAATAGAGAAAGTCATAGAAAATGATAAAATTAAATTACTCTGGGACTTCAGAATTCAAACAGACAAGCACCTGCAACATAACACCCGAGACTTAACAATTGTCGATAAGAAAGACAAAAAAGTCTGGATAGTAGACGTGGCAGTGCCTGGAGATAGCAGAATAGAAGAGAAAGAACTGGAGAAGATAACAAAATACAAAGACCTACAAATAGAAATAGAAAGACTGTGGCAAAAGCAAGCAAGGGTAGTACCAATAGTCATAGGCTCCTTGGGTGCAATCCCAAAACAACTGGAGCACCACTTGAACACATTGGCATTGACAAATTCGCTATTAGTCAATTGCAAAAGGCGGCCTTATTAGGAACTGCTTCCATCCTGCGACGATACCTGTAATACCATCAAACATCCACATCTGCCTATCCCAGGTCCTGGGTAAGGACTCGATAGGTAGACAAAATGCCAAATCCAGTCTGAACATCTGGCTGACTGTGCGATGATCGATAATAATAATAATAATATAATAATAATAATAATATAAAATACAAAGACCTACAAATAGAAATAGAAAGACTGTGGCAAAGGGAAGCAAGGGTAGTACCAATAGCCATAGGTGCCTTGGGTGCAATCCCAAAACAGCTGGAGCACCACTTGAACATCATCATTGGCATTGACAAATTCACCATCAGTCAATTGCAAAAGGCGGCCTTACTAGGAACTGCTTCCATCCTGCGACGATATCTGTAATACCATCAAACATCCACATCTGCCTATCCCAGGTCCTTGGTAAGGACTCGATAGGTAGACAAAATGCCAAATCCAGTCTGAACATCTGGCTGACTGTGCGATGATCAATAATAATAATAAAGTTGGAAGGGACCTTGGAGGTCATCTAGTCCAACCCCCTGCTCAGGCAGGAAACCCTAAACCATTTCAGACAAATGGCTGTCCAGTTTCTTCTTAAAAACAATGTTGTTAGAGGTGGGATCACAGATCCAACCCAGGTTTAAAAAACAAAACAAAAACAAAACATCAGCTGAATTCTAGTTATCCGACAAAAAGAAAACAGAGGACCCTTGTTGATTCCAAGATATTTCATTTTGTGCAACCAATCTGAACCAAACATCTTCTAAAAATAGTAACCAAAAGGAAATGATATCAAAGGAGCAGATCTAGTCTATTGGTAGTCCTCAACTTACCACTGTTCATTTAGTGACCATTCAAAGTTACAACAGCACGGTGCAAAGAGATTTATGACCAATTTTTACACTTATGACCATTGCAGTGTCCCCATAGTCATGTCATCAAGGTCCCTTCCAACTCTGTTATTCCGTTATTCAGATAAAAATGGTTTAGGAAGTCTTTTCATCTCCCCATCCTTTGCTGCTCTAGCCTTTTTTTATTTTTCTAATAAGTTAAGGGACAAACAAAGAGGAAATAAGGAAAGCAAAAGTCCACCATATTGTGTTGCTTTTGATAGGTCAGTAACTGGGAAAGCTGAACCGTCCATGCCCGGAAGATTGTATGTCCATCCAGACTCACCAGCTACTGGGGCCCATTGGATGAGACAGCTGGTTTCCTTCCAAAAGCTCAAGTTGACCAATAATCATCTTGACCCCTTTGGCCACGTAAGTATGATTTAGCTGTTCCAGACTGACCTTAGAATTTGATCAGATCCCTCCCCCTTGAAGTTGTAGCTCTAGAGGACATAACTGCTGATGGCTATGAGCATCACCTCAGGGTAGAGCAGGGCTCTCCAAACATATATTTTCAGGACTATTTGTAAGGTGGCAGCATAGAAAAATGTATTCAAGCCTATACACAAGAATCAGGTCAACTGAAGTTCAGCAATAAATTGGTGCCAGATAAGGATCAATGGAATTCAGGAGGGGTTAAGAGCTTGTGGCAATGCAAAGACTCCAAGCTAGTGGCACATTTAACTCCGCCTGCAGCTCAGCCTGCTCTTCTCCTACATATATCTGTGGGGCTGTTAGGCAGAAGGGGGAACCACATGATCAGAGATGGAGACAAAGGGATCAAAATAGGAGCAGATTGCCTCTTAATGTCCAGTTTTGCTTTAGAAATGAAAATATGTCCCGTAGTGATTGGCTAAAGTCACCCAGCCAGGTATCCTGCCTAAGGTGGGACTAGAACTCATTGTCTCCTGACGATTGGGTCAAATTCACTCAGCCAACTTTCCTGCCAAAGGCAACACTAGAACTCACTGTCTCCTGGTTTCCAGATTGGTGCCTTAACTATTAGACCAAACTGGTTCTTCCATTATTATTATTATTATTATTTTGGTTTGCTTCCACCCACCATCAATTCCTGCTTCATATTAACTGCGGTGCTGTGAATCTTTGGTCAAATCTGCCTGCAATAAAATAACTCTTTTTCAAGCCCAATGCCGGTGACTAGATGGAAACATTTATTAGCTTTCTGGGCTCATGGTTTGTCATTGGCTTCTTCTGCAATTTTTTTTTTTTTTTTTTTTTGTAAATTTCCTAATCTGATCTTCAGTGCTGGGATTCTCTGCCAAATTCTAACCAAGTCTGACCCTCCTCGGGTTTTGAAAAAAGCAGGTGGTCTCGTTCAGCAAATATAAGCCTTTCTGGAATTGATATTCTTAATTCCTTTCCTTCTTCCAATGATAAAATACCTTGCTTTAGATGCTTTAATCCATCTATCCTGCTGCTGTGTAAAAAAGGGACCTCGGTGTGTTGTCCAAGGGCTACAGAATACCGAATAACAGGTTGGAAGGGACCTTGGAGGTCTTCTAGTCCAACCCCCTGCTCAAGCAGAAGACCATATACCATTCCAGAGAAGTGGCTGTCCAATCTCTTCTTAAAAGCACCCACAAGTTCTGAAGGCAAGCAGTTCCATTGACTGATTGTTCTCACTGTTTGGACATTTCTCCTTAGTTCTAGGTTGCTTCTCTCCTTGATTAGTTTCTGTCCATTATTTCTTGTCTTGCCTTCTGGTGCTTTGGAAAATAGGTTGACTTTGTGGCAGCCCCTCAAATATGCTAGTCCTTCAAAAATAGATCAGTTTTCCAGATCGAGTTTGGAAATAGATTGCCCCCCTCTTCTTTGTGACAGCCAAAGATAGCTTATTACATCACTCTTAGTCCTTCTCTTTCTTAGACTAGACATACTCAGTTCCCAACATCCTCTGCTTTAGCTTCCAAGCTGACAATCCCACTCCTAAAGTCTTGAAGGATTTGGGTGCCCTTTCAGAATAAATAAATTTTTAAAAAGGAATGAAACGCTGCAATCAAAAACATCAACGAATCCTCCACCGAGCCTCGTTGCACCAAGGCCTTGATTAACTTGAAGCTGCACGTTGACGCTCAGCCAATGGAGTGCTTAACCACGAATCAGGTTGGGCTTAAATTGATGGAAGTGAGCGGTTGAGGGGTGTCGGCGGCAGCCACAATCTGTCAACAGTTGACTCTAATTGAACGCTTGCCTCTCCAAGTGGCACTCACGGACGCGTGGAGTGGGGAGAAAGGGGGAGATGAGAAGGAAAGCGGCCAGGCCTTGTAAACCAAATCAGTACAATGTGTTAAAACAATCTGGGAACCGGGAATGGAGTTGAGCCCGACCCAAGTTACAGTTTGAATTAATCGTATGGCTGGCTCCACTCCTACCAATCATAAATCAGAAGAAAAGGAGCTCTCCAAAAAAAAAAAAAAAAAGAGCAGGACTTCATTTGAAACAGGTCTCATTGATGGAGGTTTTTTTAGTTTAGTTTAGGGTGTTTTTTTTTTAAAGCCACCAAATCTCTTCCATGTTTCGAGCATTCTCTGTAGTAGGCAAAGCAACTCAAGGATATTATCGAAGCAAAAAGAGCCAGTTCAGAAGAGTGATGGGGCTGGCTGGCTTAATCTTGGTGTGTGGAATGGAATTTGTTTTAGCCCAGGAGTGGTGTTAATCCCTTCTCCACACAATCATCCTTACCTTCAGTATTCCACTTTTACCACGGTATAAAAAAAGATGGTGAGGCTTTAGAAAGAGGGAAGAGAAGAGCAGCGAGAATGGCTAGGGGGTTGGAGGCTAAAATGTATGAAGAACGGTTGCAGGAATTGGGGATGTCTAGGCTAGTGAAAAGAAGGACTAGGGGTGACATGATAGCAGCCTTTCAATATCTAAGGCCACGAAGAAGAAGTGGTCAAAGTATTTTCCAAAGCACCTGAAGGCAGAACATGAAGCAATGCACTAGTCAAGGAGAGATCTAACCTAGAACTAAGGAGACATTTCCTGACAGAAAGAACAATTAATCAGTGGAACAACTTTTCTTCAGAAATTGTGAGTGATCCATCACTGGAGTTTTTAAGAACAGATTGGACAAACATTTATCTGAAATGATGCAGGGTTGCCTGCCTGAGCAGAGGATTGGACCAGAAGACCTCCAAGGTCTCTGAAGTAACTCAGTGACAAGGCTTTGGGTTCGCTCTGTTAATTCTCATCTGTTTGCCTCCTTAATATTAAAATATAGCCACCTTAGAATTTGGATTGGGTTCCTGGCAGGTCTTCGGAAATTCTCTCCTGCCTTCTCCTATTTGCGTTGAGGAAAACCAAATCAAGTTGAACTCCTGAAGGAAGCCTGGACTAGTTCCACTTTTCTTGGCTCTCCAAATGCTTACATCTCCTCCACCAAGAAGCTTCTCCAGGGGTTAAAAAGACCCTCCTCCTGGCTGCCAGATGCAATCGTTGGCATCTGACGGTTTCTGGTGCAGGTTCCCAGCCAGGAAAAAACAATGTTTTGACTAGATGGAGCAGCCCGGCCCTCGTTGTAGGCGAGTCTGTTGGCAAAACCCGTTCCTAGCATTGGAAGCAGATTGTGAAAATGGAGGCCTGTGCTAGACGCTTTCTGAATGTTTGAGTTTTGTTTTCTTTTTGCTTGTTTTCCTTTCGGGCTTATAAGGTTGGTTGGGATGGAGTTGCAATAAGAAAGAGGCTCACCGCAATGGTATTTATGGCTGTTGGAAAGCGGGTCCAAGCAAGAGGACGCATAATAGGCAACAGGAGAGGGAATGGTGAAACGTGCTGCTAATGAGTAGTGTCACAACAAAGGTGGCGTGGGTCCGTATTGAAGCAGATGGGTGAACTGTGTCTGTTCTTTCTGGAATGATTGAGATGTTCAGTAGGATAAGAATGTCCTCCATAGATACAGTAGACTGCACGGTATAGAAAGTCCTTTGTCTGTCCTTTCCTCTCTCTCTCTCCTTCTCCCTTCCTCCCTCTTTCCCCTTCTCCCTTTCTTTCTCCTCTTCCCTTCCCTTTCTCCTTCTCCCTCTCCCCCTCTTAATCTCCTCTCCCTCCCTCCCTCCCTTTCTCCTTCTCCTTCTTACTCTCCTTTCCCTTCCTTTCTCCTTCTCCATCTCCCTCACCCTTACTCTCCTCTCCCTCTCTCTTCCTTTCTCCTTCTCCCTCTCCTTCTCTGTCTCCCTCTCACCCTCTTACTCTCCTCTCCCTCTCCTCCTCTCTCTCCTCTCCCTCTCCCTGTGCATTGGACTGCACCACCCATGATCTCCACTGACACAACCTTTATATTGCTCAAGATAATAATCCCAACCCAGAATTTTACAAAGCACAGCTTATGGCTTAGCGTTATATGAATTGGGGTTCCCGTAGTTTGAAGGACAAATCGTAATTTATTGTGATGTATTCTGGGCAGATCTTGCCTTCATAGGTAGAACTCTGAAAGGGATGCGTGCAACGGTCTGGTCTCTTCGGTGGACATCTTTGTGGGAAAAGCATGTTCCCCTCTCTCCACCCCAACTGATGGAGGTTGCCCTACTTTTACCCTTCTTTTGCAGATCATCCTCAACTCCATGCACAAATACCAGCCCAGGCTGCATATTGTCAAAGCCGATGAAAACAATGGGTTTGGCTCCAAAAACACAGCCTTTTGCACCCACGTCTTTCCAGAGACAGCCTTCATTGCAGTGACTTCCTATCAGAATCACAAGGTAAAGTGGCTGATTTTGGAAAAAAAAGCTTTGCCAGCCATATTACGTGCTTAGTAACAAAAATTTGGGGGGGTTCAATTGTGGTCATAGGTCAAGGACTACCTGTACTTTGGACAATTACTATAACATCAAAAAAGATCTTCACTGTATAATTTGGGATGTGGGGCTTGATCTCAACCTCATCATCTTCAGGAATTATGAGGAGAAAGTATGGGGGGGGTTTCATTTGAGTTTGTAAAAGGAAGACGGCATTTATGTTTTTAAGTTTAGACTACAAATGATATGAATTACATCTTGGCGGTTCTTGCATGGAAGAATTAGCAATCCACAACAGAAAAATCAATGTTCTACAAATCAGTAGGGAAATATCTCAAATTCCCAGACAGTCTGTTCCTAAAATATGAAGTGCGTTTGTCAGAAGATACCGCCTAGCTGTCTTTTGCTCCTTTAAAAGATGTTGCAGCGGAAGCCATGAAAAAAGCCGGTGGAAAACATTGGAGCATTAAAATCTGATTTAAGAATATAGAATAACAGGTTTGGAAGAGACCTTGGACGTCTTCTAGGCCACCTCCACCCCCACTCAAGCAGGAGACCTGATCCCATTCTGGATAATATGAATATGTAAAACAAGTGCTTGCCTTACATATTTATATTGGGTAATATAACTTACATAAATTTACATATTTACAATATGTAAGACTGTTGCTTTGCATGTACACTGAGAGTTTCTGCCACTGGAGACAAATTCCTTTTGTGTCTAATGACACTTAGCCAAATGAAGTATTCTTCTCTCTCCTCTCCTCCTCTCCTCTCCTCTCCTCTCCTCCTCTCCTCTCCTCTCCTCTCCTCTCCTCTCCTCTCCTCTCCTCCCCTCCCCTCCCCTCCTCTCCTCTCCTCTCCTCCTCTCCTCTCCTCTCCTCTCCTCCTCTCCTCTCCTCTCCTACTCTCCTCTCCTCTCCTCCTCTCCTCCTCTCCTCTCCTCCTCTCCTCTCCTCTCCTCTCTCTCCTCCTCTCCTCTCCTCTCCTCTCCTCCCCCTCCCCTCCCCCCTCCCCTCCTCTCCTCTCCTCTCCCCCCTCCTCTCTCCTCTCCTCCTCTCCTCTCCTCTCCTCCTCTCCTCTCCTCTCCTCTCCTCCTCTCCTCTCCTCTCCTCTCAGATTTCCTATCACGCATTCCCAAGAAACAAAATGGGTTTTACAAGTCAACACAGGAGCTAATTAGAACACAAAAGTCCACAACCTGTGGCTTTCCAACTTTCTTTCAGAAGAGAAAACAGCGGTACGGAAATTCTCATGCATGGACCTTCCACACGTCGAGATGTGGTGGCCTAGGGTGCTGTGTGATTGTCTTGTGTCTTAGAGATCTTTCTCTCCAAAGATCTACAGATGAGGAGGGGACAGGAGAAGGGTCATCATGCAAAACACGTGCTTTTTAAAAAGACCAACAGCTTGTTGGGATGAACTTCCTTTTGGTAACGGAAGCTGAAGAGTGAAGGTGGCTTAATTCTTAGAGAAGAAAATGGTTTTGTATTGATCTGGATAAGAGTTGGAAGGGGTCTTCTAGTCTAGCCTCCTGGCTCAAGCTGGAGACCCTATATCATTCCAGACAAATGGCTGCCCAATTTCACCTTAAAAGCCTCCAGTGATGGAGCAGCCACAATTTCTGGAGGGAATCCGTTCCACCGATTAATTGTTCTCACTGTCAGGAAATTCCTACTTAGTTCTAAGTTGCTTCTCACCTTGATTGGTTTCCATCCGTTGCTTCTTGTCCTGCCTTCAGGTGCTTTGAAGAATAGGTTGACCCCCTCTTCCCTGTGGCCGATTCCTTGTGGATGATTAATGGGCAGCTGCTGTCCAAACAAGCTCTGATTTTTTTCCTTCTTTCTGGTTCTTCATTTCAGATTACCCAACTCAAGATTGAAAACAATCCCTTTGCAAAAGGATTTAGAGGCAGCGACGATATGGAGCTGCACCGAATGTCACGAGTACAAAGGTAAGCTATTATTTGGTGCAGTATTTCTTGAAGATGTGTGGACTTCAAACCCCAGAAGTCTCTACCTTTTCTTTGAAAACACTTCCTTTCTGATTCAAGAGGCTAGAAGAAGTTAGAACCCAAGAAGCTTCTTGGATGAAAAGCGAAACATTTTCAGAGAAAACACCAAGGAAAGTCCAATTGCCTTTGGGAAAAGCATCTTTGAGTCTCTCCAGATGTTGACTTGACATCTGGTAGGTGGGAAACACTACGGATTCTCACCAAGGTTGGGAGTCTGATAAGGGCAGGTTTTACATCAAGAAGATGGGCCCGAAAACTGGATGGGTTTTAATGCAAGGGCAGATAATTCAGTACATGTGCGGGCATGATGCGAGGCAAACATTTAAGCTGAAATTAAATCCAACATCCTTTCCATGGCCCCATTCTCTCTTCCGTCCTGGAAACAAAGCAAGACTCATGTCAGAAACAAGCTTTGGGCTTTCCTAAAAGTTTCTTATTTGTTGGGTGGGGGTGGGGGGGTGGGAAATTATGAACAGGTGGTTGATGCCGATTCCAACTCGTCCTTGGCCTTAATGGAACTTGGGAGAAGATGTTGTTTAACAAAAGGCAGCGATCCAGGGTGGGAAAGACACTGCGTTGCAGACAGAAAGGACCACCTGTTTTTAATTGGTATAAATGCTCCAGCTCTCCTTGTATATACGTTTTATGGGTTCAGGGCATTTCCCTTTGGGGGAAAAGGATGGCTGGTAAAAGGATAGCGATTGGGGTAGCCCAGCTGGAAACCGTAGGACAGACTCTTCCTTGGGCAATTTTTTTTCTTCCTTGGGCGAACGGAGTGCAGACCGGTGGCAAACAGATTCCTTGACGAAGCACAACGTTTTCCTGCACAGGTAAGTCCTTGGCTTGCAACAGTTCGTTTAGTGGCCGTTCGAAGTTACGGCGGCATTGAAAAAAAGGACTGTTTTTCCCCACTTGCGTCCATTGCAGCTTCCCCGTGGTCACGTGATCAAAGATTCAGAAGCCGTTGGCCAAGCATCTGAATTTTGATCACGTGACATGGGGATGCTGCAGCGGTTGTAAGTGTAGAAAAACGGTCATCGATCAGTGCCGTTATAACTTCGAACAGTCACAAAGCGAATAGTCGTAAGTGGAGGACTACCTGCCTTCTTTACTCAATCCTGTTATTATTGAAATTGCCAGTCTTGCCGTGTGCAGGACTTGTGCTGGTTAAGACATTGATATGTTGACCCTGAAAATAAACCATCCCCAAAATCTTGGTCCACAAAACCCTACTTTGATACCAGCTTGAAATGGAGAATCGCTTAAAGGACAAACTTGTCATGACCCCTAATTATGCCCCCGTTTTTGTTTTTGTTTCGCCTTTGATCTCAGCAAGGAGTATCCAGTTGTCCCAAGAAGCACAATCCGGCAAAAAGTGTCTTCTAACCACAGTCCCTTCAGTGAGGAAGGCAGGTCCCTCTCGGCTTCTTCTAACCTTGGATCCCAGTTTCCGTGTGAGAACGGCGTCTCTAGCACTTCCCAGGACTTGTTACCCCCTACGAATCCATATCCTGTATCTCAGGATCACGGGCAAGTTTACCACTGCACCAAGAGACCAGGTGAGTAGAGTTTAGCTCCAACATTTTCCTGGGGATTCGGTTGGTTAATCTCAGTGGCGTTGGTGGTCTAGAGGTGAAGACGCTCGCCTTCCACTTGGAAGGTTGAGAGTTCGATCCTAGGGAGCAGCCGATGTTTCGCTAAGGAGAAGAAGGACTAGGGGTGACATGGTAGCAGTCTTCCAATATTTGAGGGGCTTCCATGGAGAAGAAGGGGTCAATCTATTCTCCAAAGCCCCTGAAGGCAGGACAAGAAGCAATGGATGGAAGCTAATCAAGGAGAGAGAAGCCACCTAGAACTAAGAAGGAATTTCCTGAGAAAAACTGCTTGTCTTCCAAAGTTGTGGATGCTCCATTACTGAAGGTTTTTAAGAAGAGATTGGACAACCGTTTGTCTGAAATGGTATAGGGTCTCCTGCTTGAGCAAGGGTTTGGAATAGAAGACCTCCAGTGTCCCTTCCAACTCTGTTATTTTGTGATGGACTCTCATGCTATCCAACTGTCTCCTAAGATATTTTGGCTGGAATAGAGAAAGGGAACCAACCCAAGCTTCAAGGCTTCTCCGATTTGAGTCCTTCTACATTTCTTCATTGTCTTTTCTCGCTTGGGTTCTGTTTCCCATCTAGCAAAGTCATCTTGACTGCCTTTCCAAGCATTTCAGCCCATATTACCAACAGCAGCATAGATAAAATACAGAGAGGTGACCCCATAGTTCTACAGAAGTTGAATCTACATCCAGGAAGATAACTGGTGCCTGAGTTGCAGATAACTTATCAGGTTGGGAGGCCTTAAGAAAGGACTTGGGATTATTTCCAATACTTAAATAGCTAATGGCAGGTTATTTTGGAGAGGTGAAATTTATAGCTATTCCGAGAGATTAGCCAGGCTTTTCAGAGAGTTAGCCGAGTGGCTGAGCCAATTTGGAATGGAAGCATACAGCAAAAAGGAATGTTTGGTAAACTATCTTTTCAAAATCCCTTTAAAAAGAAAGAAAGAAAAGAAAACCCCACTTTTTAAAGAGATCCATGCTTCCCTTTTTAAATCTGGATGACTGAGAATCCTCATTGACATATTTGGGAAGTTTTCAGTTTTGGAAGACAATCTAGAAGTCAAATGTTTTTGAGCATCCTTTCAAGAACATAAGGGTGTGTGGGTTGGCACTCACACACACACACACAAACACACACACACACATATACACAGATTGCCTATTTGTGTGTATCTGTGTAAATATGTGTGTGAGGATGTATGTATACATGCATGTGTACTTTCCCACATGCTTACAAACATAATATTCTTTTTTAAAAAATCTTTAAATCTTGCAATATTCAATAGGACGCATAAAAAGATTTCTTAGGCTGAATTGGATAAGCGGGTAAATCAACAGAGCGTGGATTCCTAATTCACCACTTATTTTTTAACTGCAAGAGGAGACGTCTCATTTTTTTCCCTCTTTACAACTCTGTAATCCCTCGATTTGGGGTGGGGTAGTGGGTGACCGAGTGGATCTGAGCATTTACTGGCCAGATGCCCTTCCTGATGCCTATGTAGAGTTCATAGCAGATATTTTCAGCACTGCTGTCCCACCCTGAGGAAGCTGCACGACAATGGAAAGCTGTGTCACACCATCACTGTAGCCCCCTCTGCCTTCTCTAAATTAGCAAGCCAGCTCTGCAGAAACCACCAAGAGAAATTGGAATGGAATTTTCTAGCCCCCCCCCCCCGAGAATACAGCCAATAAAACCAGGAGACTCTTCCACAAGGTAGGGACAAGAGAACTCTTGGACAAACGACAAAACCAGATTTAGTGTTAATCCTAAAGCTCCCTCATCCTATCCTTTGAAAGCAAACTGTTTCCCTTCCCCAGAAAAGCAACTGCAGAAAGTTAGGGAGGGGGCAGCGCCAGTGGTCTCTGATTGGAGCCATCCTGTCAACATGAAAACCATCCATCATTTGTCTCCAGCCATGGAAGAGTGATAAAGATGAACAAAAAAAAAACAACGCTTTCTTTCCAGTTTTGGGATTCCCTACTTGGTGGGTGGCTTCCTGTCTTCTCCCCTCACTCACTATCTCATTTCCTTGCATTGTAATATGCCAGAGGGCTATCTTGCCCATGGTGCACTTCCCCCCCCCCCTTAGCTCCATCCTAGGAGACAATAACATAGGGCCCTGTCTCCTTGCTATCTCACCAATGGCTCAGGTCTGACAGGCAGCAAACGTCTCATTTATCAAAGCTGTTGGGTCCTTTCTGTCTCGCATGATTCTTTGGGCTGTTTATTATTATTATTATTATTATTATTATTATTATTATTATTATTATTATTATCATCATCATCATCATCATCATCATCCAGAATGGCATCTCTACAGAGCATTGGCTCAGTCTTAGGGTGTTCAGATTTTAAATCAAAACTATTTCTGGACAGGGAGAAAGAGAAGGAAGAGAGAAAGAGGAGGCAGGAAGGAGAGAAGGAGCAGGAAGAGGAGAAAGTTATGGAGAAGAAAAAAGAGGAGGAGGAGGAGGAGGAGGAGGAGGAGGAGGAGAAAAAGGAGAAGGTGCAGAGGAGGGAAGGAGAAAAAGAAGGGGAAGGAGAAGAGGGAAAAAGAGTGAGAAGGAAGAGAGAAAATTGAACTGTTTGAGTCCAGTTCAGGAGTGGACAGTTTTTCTGCTCATATTTGGCTTGGAAGGGGTGGTTCAAGAGTAAAGGCAAATGCATAGAACATGCATGTTTCCTTGCAACCCTGTCAAATGGACACATGGATAGGGGACTGGCCCAAAGTCCTCCAGACAGTTCTTGTGGCTGGGGAAGCCTCCTTACTCCTAGTTCAGCACCTTCTCCACTGGACCAATCTGCCTCTTGAACTGAGACAAGAAAGATTGGACCAGGCAACATGGATGGTTGAGGAGGAACTAAAACCTGGTCCAGCACCTTCTCCACTGGACCCCATTGAGCTTTTGGGCTAAGAGAGGGATTGACCCAAAGTCATCCACTGAGCTTCGGTGGCTGAGTTGGGACTGGAACCTGGGTCTCCCTCCTACTTTTGCATCTCCGCCACTACACGGCATTGGCAGTTGGTCTCAGAGGGAGGACTCACTAGACGCCATCTGTGAGATTCCATGTCTGAAAGAGGGATTAGAACCTCTGCACTAGAACAGAATGGTTTTCCATTTGCTTACAATTAAAGGGAGTTGACAGGAGTCATCTCAATGGAGCATGAAATCCTATTCCTTTTCTCTCACGTTGAAAAGTCCTCCTTTTCCTTTACTCCTCTCTCCCTTGTCTTTCTCTCTTTCTTCTACTTCTCATTCCCTCCTCCCTGCCTCTCTTCCTTCTCCTCCTCCTTTTTTCTCCTTCCTAGAGCCTCTTCCTCTCTTCCTTGTTCTTCTAAATCCCTCCTCGCTGCCACTTCTCCTTCTCTCCTTCCTGCCTCCTTTTTCTCTCTTCCTTCTGGCTGTGGAACGCGGTGCCAAATGGCCTTCCCAATTTGTGTCTCCTCAGATGACGAATGTTCCACCACTGACCTCCCTTACAAGAAACCCTACATGGAAACATCTCCAGCAGAAGAAGACCCCTTCTACCATCGCTCCAACTATCCCCAGCAGCAAGGACTGAACAGCGCCTACAGGACTGAGTCCGCTCAACGCCAAGCCTGCATGTACGCCAGCGCAGCCCCAGCCCCGGAAGCCGTGCCCAGCTTGGAAGACCTCAGCTGCAACACATGGTCAACCATGTCCTCTTACAGCAACTGCACAGTAACGCCCATGCAACCCATCGACAGGTTGCCTTACCAGCATTTTTCAGCTCACTTCACCTCGGGCTCCCTGATGCCCCGCCTTGCCACGGTGGCTGGTCATCCCTCGCCTCAACTCGGGGACACCCATGCCATGTTCCAGCACCAGACCTCCGTTCCTCACCAGCCCCTCGTCCGGCAGCAAACCAGCATCCAGTCTCCTCCTGGAAGCTTACAGCCACCTGAGTTCCTCTATGCCCACGGGATGCCCAGGACACTTTCTCCACATCAGTACCATTCTGTTCACGGGGTGGGCATGACTGCAGAATGGAGTGAGAACAGCTAACAAGGGAAGAGACGAGCCTTGTTTGGACTGAATGTTCACAGATAAGCACTCTAGAGATGGACCAGGCCCTCTTCTCTGGTGAGACCATGGGGTGGTATCACCTCTACTTTGGTGTCTCCAAGCCACTGAACATCACAGCACATCTTTGCCCCCTTCTTGTGCTCTCCTCACTCAACCCTCCTCCCCGGGATTTGCATCAGTACCAACCTGTCCCCTTTGATGGTTTTGTTTGATTTGGCTTCCAAGTGAGATACCAAGAGCTTCATGGCTCTTCTTGATCTCCTTTTGGTGGGGTGAGGTGGGAAGAATACGTGGAACTTTCCCCCTTCTCTTGACTCCTCCCCTTTCTTTTTGGTGTTGATATTGACAATGTTCTCTAATAAATGATAATATATAGCTCTCTCCACATCCATTTCTCTCTCGCTTTCTCTGTATCCTTTTCGGCCTCTCAGTTGGATGCCTCTGTTTTTTTTTAACAGGAATTTTAAAAGCTGCAGCTGAAATGAGTTGTGAGATACAACTTTTCAGTGGGTTCTCTTTATTTTCATTACAGGCCCTTTTAGTTTAAATCTGTGATTCTCAAAGCTGGCAACGTTAAGATGGCCGGACTTCAACGCTCAGAATTCCTCAGCCAGAAAAGTAATGCTGGCTAGAGAATTCTGGGAGTTAAATTCAGTCCACCCATCTTGACGTTGCCAACTTTGAGGAACCCTTGTTTAAAAGGTTAATTAAAGGTTAATAAAAGATTCTTAGTCTGATTTTTTTTCCTACATTCCCCTCTCTTTTTATTCGATGGTCAATGCTTGGAAAATATCAGAACAAAATCTTTCTTAAATACGCAAGCAATTTATTTTTTTTCTAACTCTACCTCACAGGATTGCTGTTGTGGGTAAAGTAGGAGGAGGAAGATGTGTTGGATATGTTCACTGCCTTGAGTAGTTTGTAAAAAATAATAAAGGTGGGATATAAATACAAAAACAAATAAATATTGGGGACTCACATTCCGTACATCTTCCCAAAGCTTCCTTGGCTTTGTGAAAAGAAGCTCCTTCACTAGACATGTTGAATCTGTAGATGTCAGGATATCTAAAATGATTTCAACCTTCCAGCAGATGGCTGAGGGGAAATCTTTCTTTCCTCCTGGTTTATTTCTGGAACTTGCATAGCTAAAGTTCACAGTCAAACTACGATTCAAGAGCTAAGAGCTATTTTGAATGGAGAGCTATTTTAATCCTATCAAGATTTCTTTGGACACTGTTTTACCCGGCTGTTAATTCCTCTTTGAAGTATGGACTTCCAATTCACCACTTTATATTTTTTTTAACTGCAGTAGGAAACATCAAACTTGTCTCTCAATTCAAAATTGCAGTAACAGTAACAGACTTGGAAGGAACCTTGGAGGTCATCTAGTTCAACCCTCTGCTCATGCAGGAGATTTATCCTGTTTCTGGCAAATGGCTGTCCATTCTCTTCTTAAAAGCTTCCAGTGATGGAGGCTTTTAAGAAGAATTAGAATTCTTAGAATTAGAATTAAACTCCCATTAGAATGAGAATTTTATTTTCAAAAGATAATCTAGAGCAGTGCTTCTCAATTGATCTGGAGACTATGTTTTGATCAATTCAAGGTTGAACAGAGAGACACATACAGATATATACACAAATGTGCATAAAATATATACTTATCCAAATTAAGTACATATTCAGATTTGTGTACTTGTGTAAGATCAAGTATGATCTTTTTTAAAAAAAAAGCTTCACATCTTTCAATATTCATTGATTTTAGTAGGACACATAGAAAGATTTCCTAGGCTGAATTGGACAAGCCTGTCTGTAAACATCAAGGGATGACTCCCAATTCACCACTTAATATTTTTTCCTTAAACTGCAATAGAAAACATCACTTTAATTATATTTCTTCCTAATGTGTGGATGAACTTCTCCTGGCTCTGTTCAACTCTACTTCTTTATATTAAGATACCTCTTGGCTTGACTGTATGACTGCAATGGAGCCTGCCCATCAGAACTGTAATTTTGTGAAGATCATCAAACAGGCCCATGACATAAGTGATCTGATTTTTGTTAAGTGAACACAGAGGTTAGAAAGCTAGGGCACTCTTTACCAAAAATTGGATGTTAGTGGCAGTTTTCAGCAAAACCATCCTAAAATTTGACCATGGGACCATGGGATGCTGCCGACAGCCCATAAGTGCTTAGTCACCTGACTGTATGGGGGGCAACCATTGGAACTTCAAAACTAGCTTATGTAACCCCCCAGGTAAGTCCGTCATAACTTCAACCAGTCACTAAGCGATCAGTCTTAAGTTGAAAACAATCTGCTGTTTTCTCCATCAGTTATTTTCCCCTTCACAATTTTAATCACACCATTGATCTCAGCCAGGCTGGCTGAATGGGATGCTACATTCAATCACATCATGTAATTTAGCATTAATAATTATCTTCATGTGAGCAGCTACGTTCATTTTTTGAGGATGACCTCATGAGCAAACCAGGGCAAGCGAATGCAAACAGCTGAGTGTTCTGTAAGCATTAATTTCTTCTGAAGAATTTTTCAGTACTGGTGGATTTATTTCCTTGTCGGCTATCATGACTTTTGGCAATCTATCTGTCTTTTTTTTTTTTTTTAATTAAGCATCTTCAAAGCAAGAGGCTATTTCAGTCCAATTAGTGTTTCGTTTTCTTTAGTGCAGAATTAACCTATAGGCACAGATTCAAAAATCAAATTGGAAAAACAAATAAACCTGCAAACTTATTGAAAATCGGATCCGTAAATAATTGTTCTGTTATTTTTGTCTTCCTCTGTAAAAAAAAAAAAAAAAGACACATTCCCACACAAAAAAAAAAAAACACCAAATCGGGCTCAAGAACATTATCTACATGTGCTAGATGTGGTGGAATATAAGTATTTTACATATCCAGCCCACTCCAGTGTGGACTGCACAAAAATTCCAGCTCGATTAAAAGCACAAATTTCTGCACTTTATCAATGTAGCTGTTTTTTTTTTTTTTTTTTAAAAAAAAATGGGTTGCAGGTAGTCCTTGATTTTCCAATGTAGCTATTTTTCTTTTTTAGAGAAAATAGGTTAATTGCAAATGCCCTTCAGCCAACGAAGATACCTTTAATGGGCGAGTAGAATTATTGCACTCGTCCATAAAGTTGGCTCTGCTCCAGCTTCATGAATGCTTTCCCTCATTTAACTTTTAAAAAGCAATTGATTCGACGAATTGATTCTTGACCGAATAAGAGCACTTCAATTAATCAATCCTCTTGCTTATAAAAAATAAAAAATGCAGAGAGCGTAACAGAAGCATTCAAGCAATGAAGAGAGAATGTCTCTTACACAAAGACAAAGCTTGGGTAGATTCGAAAGAACACCCCCTCCACCCAACACCCCCTCCCCGAATTAATATATAATAAAATAGAGAGAGGAGGGATTTGGAGACTAGGGTATGAAAAATGGGTGGGCCAACTGTTTTTCTTCTTCATAAAATTAAGGCGAAAGGAATTCCTTGGGAAAAAATGAAATACAGGTACCGGTAGTTAACTTGTAAGTCAAGTTAGTTCATTGTAAGTCGACTTACAATCATTTCGTGACCATTCAAAGTTACAACGGCATTGAAAAAAGTGACTTATGACTCTTGCGACATCCCCGTGGTCACGTGATGAGAATTCAGATGCTTGGCAACTGATTCCTATTTATGACGGTTGCAACGTCCCCGGGTCATGTGATCCCCTTTTGCGACCTTCTGACAAGCAAAGTCAATGGGGGAAGGCAGCTTTGGTTAACAAACCGTGTTACTAACTAAACCAGTGCGGTGATTCGCTTAACAGCTGTGGCCAGAAAGGTCATCAAATGAGGCAAAACTCTCTTAACCGCTGTCTTCATTTGCCACGGAAATTTGGGGGCCTCCCAAGTTGAGGACTACCTGTATTCCTGCAGATTCCCCTGAACTCAGATACGTCTCTCCTTCTTCTGGTGAGCCAGAAGAAGTTGGAGTGAGAAGGAAAGCTTGGATGTTTACCAATTGCAAGCTCAGAGAGCACCAAAGACTCCAGAATTAGGAATAAGATCCTTGCATTCCAGACCATGAGCATCATCTTCTCAATCTGGCATGGTCCAGAAGGATTGATTGAAAGAACTGATCTTGTACATCCCAAAGACTGAGAAAAAGTTGGTGCTTTCCCCGTTTAATTTAAACATGTGTGGGCAGACCTAGCTGAGTAGAACAGGTAAAAGAGATGAAGAGAAAGGACCTCTCTATCTGACTTCCACATGGAAAACGGATGGAGCAGCCAGCCTCTCTTCCAAGGTTACTTTTCTTAACTCAAACACAGCAATCCCAAAGAAAACGATAAGATCCAGGCGTCTAATAAATCACGACAGTCCTTCTTTGTGCTTTTCCATTTATCTCTGCCCGCAGAGAGACATCAGAGACAGACAGAAGACAGACAGGGAGATATTCTACCAGGGTCTGGAAACGAGTCAAGAAAAGGAGTAGAGTTACCGGTGTCTATGCATGAGCCAGGACGAAAACCACATTAAAATATTAGCTGCATTCTCTTTGCGGTCATAAGAAGGATATGCAGGCCAAACGAGAAGAGGCATGAAGAGGAATTCAATGTGATATTGGGAAGAGAGAAAAAAGGAGGGACGCGAACAGAAGTTTTAGATATTAAAAAAGTGATTGAATGCAAACCCCAAAGACAAATTCACCCCTGGGTTTTGGGGCAAAAAAAGTAGAAAAAGCAGGACTGGAAGCACTTAAGCCAAACAGAAATTACCATTCAAAAAACCGAAGCAGTCTAACAGTTTTTGGATGAAAATAAAAAAAAAAGCACTGCTCAATTGATCACAAAAATCTGTATGAGTGAACTTGGCCTCTGTACATATGATATCTAAGCTAAGGAAGCATTGAGTGTTGTTCCTTGCCTCCTCATTAATCTAAGCCTACGAGAATTAATTGGGAAATTATTATTTTTTTTAGAAACAACACAGATAGTCCTTGACTTTCAACCACAGTTGAGCCCAAAATGTATGCTGCTAAGTGAGACATTTGTTAAGTCAGTTTTGCCCCATTTTACGACGTTTCTTGCCATCTTTGGGGCAAGAAAAGTCATAAAATGGGGCAAAACTCACTTAAAGGTCTCACTTAGAAACATACATTGTGGCCTCTACAAGTCTGGGTAAAAAGAAGGGCTGATTGGGCCAACTGAATGTCTTCGCTCTTACTTGAAGGAATCCCTTGACGTTGCCTTGGGAAGTGGGTCTCAGAGCTCCTTTACCCAATGAAAGTAGGATGGTGTCTATTGGGGTGAACGAGGCAGCAAAAGAGCAGGTTCCTTAATCTTCCCAGCTAAGTAAAATCATCTGCCTTGGCATCTTCACC